AGTTAAAGACTCCATATACCAGAAGATTCCCAGAATCATCAGGATAGAACCGCCTCTGTTTTGGAGCCTGCTCTCAATGGATTTTGCTTCACATCACCCTCCTCTGCTCTCACAGATCTGAGGCCTGACCACCTCACAAAGCTACTGACACGCAAGGGGGCGGTTTACTTAGTGTGAAAGAACTTAAGAAAACTTTATCGTGGGTGGGGGTGAACTATAAAAGAACAGAATTCAAGAGTAGAGAAGATAACGATTGACACTGCATTTAAATTTTTGAAGGTCAAAGTTGACTGGGAAGCAAGAAGCCGGAAGGTAGTTTCACAAGCAGGAAGTGCAATAGAAGAAACTGTTAGCATAGAACTTACGGTAACATCTCACGCTATTATTATTATTATTATTATTATTATTATTATTATTTTCTTTGATTTCTGGTGTGTACACCTTTCTTCCCGGGTCCCGCTAGGTCAGAAATGGCATCATGACTTTTTCCACTAGGCAATGAAAAAAAAAGCAAAAAAAATAAAAAAACATATTTTACACAGATAAAGCCCTTCGTAAGGTGTAAGCTGTACTTGTGAGTATCTTTGGATTTCGTTAAGGCATAGGCTATCCGGGATTCCTTTAATGAGTCTATTGGGATCTTTTCCAATTTATTATCATTTTTGCTGTTGTTGATATTATTATTATTATTATTATTATTATTATATTCCCTTTGATTTCTGGTGTGTACTCATTTCTTTCCAAGTCCTAACCAGAGACTTAAGGCCAGAAATGGCTTCATGATTTTCACTGACTAATTAAAAAAAATCTCACATATTTTACATAGATAAAGCTCTTCGTAATGTGTGGGCTGTACGCGTGTGGAAACTTGTTTGTATTTCTATATGGCATGGGCTTCCAGGAATCCCTTCAATAAGTCTTTTCCAACCAATCCTAGGGCCCCAACTACAACATGGATTGTTGATGTTCCCATGTGCCACACTTTTGAGATTTCGATTTCAAGGTCCTTGTATTTTGATAGCTTTTTGGAGATCTTCAAAGATAGATTGCAGTCTGCAAGGATTGCCATGTCAATAAGGAGGCATTGTTTTGTTTACGGTCTCTAATAACAATGTCTGGGCGGTTGGCTTTGATTATTCTGTCAGTGTGTATTGTGTAGTCCCATAGAATTGTAACAGGTCCTATCTCCTTAACCGGGTCTGGGTGGTGTTCATACCAGTTTCTTTCAGTTTCCTTCCCGTAGAAGTTGCAAATTTTCCAATGCAAATATTGTCCACTCTGTCATGCCGGGTTTTATATTCAGTGGGTGCCAATACCTTGCAACCTGATACAAGATGATCAATTGTTTCTGGATATTTATCACAGAATCTCCATTTTGGGCTAACACAATTTCTTAGTATGCGTGCTTGATAATTTCTAGTTAACAAGCATTGGTCCTGTGCAACAAGGATAAAACTTTCGGTGTCAGTTTTTAACCCTGCACTACGTAGCCACGGATGGGTACGGGAGTTTGTCTACATCAGCTTGTTTGGTCCGTGCAGAGTATTGACCATGAAGAGGCTTACCTTGCCGTCATCCTTGCACTTGGTGCATTGCGTTTACTTGTGCTTTCTTTCTTTTTTTTTAGTTTTTTTTGCCGCTACATTACGTGTATTATAGTTTATTTGCAGTTTTTCATCGACTTGATATTCCCTTTTGAATTTGTTGGCTTTATTACTGGACAAAATTTCTTATTTCTTTTATTTTCTCTGACACAAATCATCATCCAGTCTTCTGTAGTTCCCAGGTATCTTTGAGAGACAAATTGTTGTAGTTTTGTAAGACAATTCTAGTTGAACTAATCCTCTGCCTCCTGGGCACGTGCAGTTTCAGCTTTTAACCCTGCTCTACGAAGTCACTGATGGATACGGGAGTTTGTCTACGTCAGCTTGTTTGGTACGGGCAGATTATTGACCAGGAAGCGGTTTATCTGACCATTGTTTCTGTATCTGGTCGGTTGCATTTGTCTTTGCAATCTTTTTTTTTTTTTTTAATATTTTTTACCTTCTGTCGGTGTATTGGGCTTCTTTTTTTTTTTTGTATTTCTTCACTCATTTGGAACTCCTTTTTGAAATTCTTGGCTTCCTTTATTACTGAATACAATGGCTTACTACTTTCATGTTCTTTGACACAAATCATCATGCAGTCTTCTGTAGTTCCCGAGTATCTTTGAAGAGCAATTGTTGTAGTTTTGTAAGACAATTCTAGTTGAACTAATCCTCTGCCGCCTTCGGATCTGGGCACGTACAGTTTCAGCTTTTAACCCTGCGCTACGTGGCCACTGATGGGTACGGTAGTTTGTCTACCTCATTGATAGCGTCGTGCTACGCCCCTCGGCCATGAAAAAATAATTCAGATATGGCTAGGTATATATATATATATATATATATATATAGATAATACATATCAGATGCATCAAGGGTGGTTGTTGAGGGAGACAAAAGTTATCTCCCTTTGGCTAAACCTTTAAAAAGACTAAAAATAGATAACCTTTAAAAAACTAAAAGTAGAGATATAGATAGTCACGTGAACAGCCCGAGGGATCGTTAGGGGCGAAACTCGAACATCCTCATTGGTTTCTGGCAGTCAAACCAGAAAGACATACTTATTCAGGCTCGTGACTATCAACTTAAGATAAGTACTAAAGATCACCTTCTTTTTCAGATATCAAATACTAATCCTTAATTCGATAACTAAACCTTACGTACACACTTCGTTTCTAAAAAAATAATTCATTGTTCAACTATATATAAATATATATATATATATATATATAAACGATATATAAAAATATGATGCAGCCAAAAATCAAAGAGGTTTGAATGCACAAAAATCGAACCTTAGGCCTATGCAATTATGGCATTGTATTAAAATGGGGGAAGTTAATATTTGGGATCGACCTGTCGGACGTTTCGGTCTATTTGATCAGGTCCGCGGTTGAGCATCTTCATCGGACAAATTTAAATATTCTTAAACTGATAATTTTTTTTTTTACATTAGAACATATAAAATTTCAATGGCGTTCCTTCGGAGGTTTGACGATGGACATTAAGGACAAGCCTCATGAAACAGATAACTCTTGCAGCGTTTCTCACTGCCGATGGTTCGAAAATTTTATCATGCGATGGCAGAGGATCAAAAATTTTTAATTACGATCACCTGGTTGTCATCAGTGGTCAACTGAACTTGTTTTGTTCAAAAATTTTCGTATTTATTAGCAATGATGATTTCTAAAATATTAAAATATTAAAAAAAACACACGATTGAACTATTTTTATATCATTTAAACAGTTCAAGAAAATTCTTCCGTTGATTTTTTTGTTTTTTCTGTCGATTTTACTTCATACCTAATTAACGGAAAAAATAATACTATATCCAAATAACTATAAACTTTCAATTAAGTATATATATTTACATATATATAAATATATATATATATATATATATATATATATATATATTCAATTGACATTATGTTATATAAAGACTTATTTGGTTTTTATTTTAAACTTTTTTTTTATGTGTTTCGAACCTGTTGTATTGCTACTCGTCCGACAATTTTTAAGACATTTTTAATTAACCAATTTAGGTAAATAATTTCTCACGCAATGTCCGATGATATTCGTTCCGTGATCGAACCTGTATCTTCATCATTTGAATTTCGACGTTTTTGCATCATATTCGGGTAAACAGCAACAATCTTCCATGACCTGACGTACAAATCTGCTCAGGCCGCCTCCCCAATGATAGACGTCGTTCTACGCACCTCGACATTATTTTAAACAAACATTCTTTTTTATAGATATAAATATTTGAGTCCGCTCGTTTATAATAAACGATTAAAATAACATTTACGGCCTCAGTCAAAAATATCGTCATCCAGGAATCGAAATAAACAAATGACGTCTTTCACCTTCCCAATTATTTATTTTTTTTAGTTTTGTTCTTTTTATAGATACTTCATCCGGTTTGATTCGCCATTTTCCCGGAATTTATAAAGTCTTTCAGCTGGATTTGTTCTTCCGACATAGTTTAATCACAATGTTTCACCTTTGAAATAGTTGAATCCCAAAATTTTCCCCTAAACAAGTTAATAAAAACCACTACTACAAGGGGGGACATTTACAAGAGAAGACAATAAAAAAACATGAATTAAAAAAAATAAATAATTTTTGATATCATATTTAAATTTTAAAGATCAAGGTCGACACCTTTAGACTCTTAATCAAACGATATAGAAAACTAGACAGCAAAGAACCATTGACATCAAGACTATAAAGAGGTTTGAATGCAGCTTGGTTTCATAAAATCGAACCTGTAGGTGTGTGTCGACCGCGGTGATGGAAAAATTTTTCAAACTGATTTCAACAAAACTTCACAGGACTACGTAAAATTTTCCTTTCAAAATGGGAAAACGTTGACTGGGATGCGACCTGTTTCTGATGTGGTGGTGTTTTTCGGCTATAATTTGATCAGGTCCTACGCCAGAATCCGTTTCGACCGGGACGCAGTGATGAAAAAAATGCTTTAAAGATTAAATAATTGTTTATAATAAAATTCTATTCAATCAGTTCATAACGATTTTTTAAACCTGTTTTATTTTGAGCAGGATTGGACCAATTCGTAAAAAAAAATAATAATTAAGACATGCGTGTCCATCAACCTTTAAACAATATTTTGTCAATTTTATTTTCGTCTTTATGATGGTCGTTCTTCGGACATCCCAGGTCACCAGATTAGCGCGATTGCGTCTCGATTAACTAGACTGAATAGTTTTCGCCTCACCTTAGCATTGTTGGATATCTTTAAAAATCTTTGGTCGTGTCCAAAGCAAGAGGATCTGTGATCTTGGTTCAAAACAGGTAATATCTTTACAGATCCACCATCCAGGGATGCACACAAGGGGGGGCTGGACCTAACGTAATAGAAGAAAAATTGTTTCAAAGGATGAGAGCTTGCCGTTCTTCTGGAATTGTCATCAGTGGTCAACTGAAAACATCCTGTTTTGTTTCCATAAATTTATCCTTGATTTATTAGAAAAACAACTGAAGCCGAGTTGTCAGATAAGGGCATGTTCAGATTCTTTTTTTATCAAATCTGAGTAAATGGACTACCATACTAAATTTGGCAATATATTCTACATGGACGGACACAGACTTATAGAAACCTAGATCCTGTTTACAAAACATTAACTCAATGAATCCCAATGTCATGAACCAACCACAGTGCATGGTGTGTGGCATGCAGGATTCCTTCAGATTATTCAACAAAATACCGAAGTTTTTTTGGGGTTTTTTTGTTTAAAATTCCAAAAGCAAGGCGGGAAGCCATTAGCATGAAAAGGTTACAGAGAGTTGGAATTAAAGAGGTGATAGAAAAAAAAAGAGGTTAGGGGATAAATCAGGTATCTGGAATGACTGACGTTACATTTGAATAGTCGGAGATTAAATTAACGGTGGGAAAAAAATTGTCAGATAAGGGCTAACAAAATTGCAGATTCTTCTTCGAATTTTATCATGAAGCTCTTAAGATAAAACAGGAGCACCAAACTGTTTGACAGCAATAACAAAGCATGGACGAATGACAGACTTATAGATATGTAAGATAGATCCTGGCGGGAAAAATGGTATAACTCAATGATTCCCAACGTGGGACATTGTAATATTTTAGTGGGGTATTTGTAGGATGTGAACCTTTTGGCTTACTATACCAACAGAATAAGGGGGCAATTCGAGAATGAGTTATTAACAGTGAATTGTTTTTCTAATGAGTCTGAGTGAAAGTGTTAATCTTAATGCGTGTTAATACATACGATGTATATACAGTGTGCATACATTAAAAATATTTTGTGTGTATATACGTATATGTGTAATTGGCATACAGGCCATTTCCCGTCTCCCCACACTCGCGTGTCTCGAGAGGGCGTGATGCATGTCGCTGGAAGAGCCCAGGTTTTGTCGGCCAATCAGCGTTTGTGAGCATTCAGTTTGATTTCTTCACTTGAATTGCAGTAAAATTTTGGATATGTAAGAATTAAATATTACATGGGGTCACGAGAATTTTAGAAAAACCGACGCGGGGAATGACCAAAAACTCTGTTAGAAAATACTGGTCAAATTCGACACAGTAAAACAATTTTCTTAGATGAAGACATGGCAATAGATTCAATAGATTCTTTCCACTTTACATCAGTGGAAAGCATTTATCATAGAAAGCGCAATGAGGTGCTCTCGTGGAGGCTAGCATCAGCCATTCTGAGGAAAGGTAAAAAGGGCTTCTCTTGGACGATTAAAAGAGAGTAGTTTCGTTTTGGAAAATTGGCCCAAGTCGCAAAAAGATACTTGAAGAGACAAAAAGTTTTTACCAACGGGCTGATTGGGATTCATTTTCTGAAATAGAAGGAAAAGAAAAATTAAACAGAAAAAAAAAAAAAAAAAACTAAAATAGATAGAAACAGACTGAAGCAAAAAGAAAGAAAGAAAGAAAGAAAGAAAGAAAGAAAGAAAAGAAAGAATCTTAAATAGAAAGAAAGAAAGAAAGAAAGAAAGAAAGAAAGAAAGAAAAGGATATAATCAGAAAGAAAGATAAACGAAAGGAGAGAAAGAAAGTAACTGAAATAGAAAAGAAAGAAAGAAAGAAAGAAAAGGGAAAAAGAAACTGAAATAGAAAGAAAGAAAAGGAAAAGAAAGAAAGTAACTGAAATAGAAAGAAAGAAAGAAAGAAAGAAAGAAAGGAGAGAAAGAAATAAAGAAAGAAACCTATGTAGTCAGAAATGAAAGTAAGAGAGAGAGAAGCTGCAATAGAAAGAAAAGAAACTGGAATAGAAAGAAAGAAAGAAAAAAAAAGAAAAGAAAGAAAGAAAGAAAGTGGCCAAAGAAAGTGAAATAGAAAGAAAGAAAAGGATATAGTGAGAAAGAAAGAAAGAAACCTAATAGACATAATTAAAAACGCAAAGAAAGAAACAAACAAACAAAGAAACAAAGAAAGAAAGAAAAAACTGAAATGAAAAGAAAAGGATCTGGAATAGAAAGAAAGAAAAGAAAGAAACTGAAACAGAAAGAAAAGAAACTCGAATAAAAAGAAAGAAAGAAAAAAAAGAAAGAAAGAAAGAAAGAAACCGAAGTAGACATAATTAAAACGCAGGGAAACGAAGAAAGAAATAGTAAGAAAGAAAGAAAGAAAGAAAGAAAGAAAGAAAGAAAGAGAGAAAGAAAGAAAGCGGAAACGATTGAAAGAAAGGAAAAAAGAATAAAGGAAGAGGAAGAAAGAAATAGAAAGTACGAAAGAAAGAGAAAAGGAAAAAAAAACTAAAATTTAAAGAAATAAAGAAAAATGTAAGAAAATGAAATAAAAAGTAAGAAAAACGAAAGAAAAGAAGAAATAAGCTGAAACAGAAAGAAAGAACAAATGAAAAAAGAAAAGACGAAAAAAAGAAAAGAAAAGAAAGAAATGAACCTGCAT